CCCCAAAACCCCAAAACCCCAAAACCCCTGTAGCTGTAATTTCAATTGAATTTTAGGGAAATATAAAATTATACAAGTCCTTATTCAGGCTTGTATCATGCAGGCTGGTTGCCAACGTCCGATCTTGTTTTGATCCACGCTTACACTGGGTACACTTCTTCTCTCCCCTCTCTCCATCCACCCACTTACCTCTTCTCCCTGAAATCTTAGGATGCGCAGTAAGAGAAATTGGTACTGAAAGGACCAAACTTTTGTTAGGAGTCTGCTGGGAGAAGTCAGAGTGGGAAGGCAGGAAGGGTTTACGGTGGGTTGAGTGGAAAGGTCTGGTTTGGATGAGGGATGAGGAGGGCTGGGAGAGGGTTAAGGGGTTGGACAGGTGTTTTTGGGATGATTTTGAGGGATTTTGGGGATTTGGGGATTTTATGTACTCGTTGAAGAGGAGGGTTGTGCAGAGGATTTTGGTGGGTTTTTGATGTGGTTTTGGGTTATTTTAGGGCTATTTTTCTAAGGGGTGAGAGGGAGGGGTACTGTAGTTGGATTTGTTTAGTGAGATTTGTTTTGGGTTGGTTTCTTTTTGTGCTTCTTGATTTTTGGGCAAATTTGTTCAATTTTAATCACAGGTTTTTAGAGGGGGATAGAGATTGGACTATAAAATAGATTTGAAGACTTACGGTCTAGAGTCAGTGAGCTTTTTGACGGGATCCTCTCACTCTCTGGTTTCTGAGAATTATAGTTCTCTTCAATTTGGAGTATCCGACACATTTGAGTGATTTATTATATTGATGTTGTTTTCTGTCTGTTTTCCTTTCTTTGCTAATTCTCTTAATATCATTGCTCATTTGATGATTTGCTGTGAATTTATGATAAAGATATACGTTGTTGTAGGCTAGAGTCAGTCAAAGTGCCTCTAAAAGAACTTATTTCCTCGCTATATTAAAATGTTATGGCACTTAGGAATCAATATACCTGTCGAAAAAGCCTTCAATGGCTTTATTAACTGTTGTTGGTTGCCTTTCAGTTTATCAAGACAGATTCGTGAATCGAATATCTATAGAAATTTATTCAACATTTTTGTAAATACTTACTGATTGTTTTCAACTATTAAAATCGTTGTTAAAACTGAGATTAGCAGTTATCTCTTTATTGGCTAAAGCAGCTTCTAACTCTGGATTTAAAGTTAAGAAATAAATTACGTTTATTTTTCTTCATTAATACTTTGAAGAAGGTCATTATGATTTGCCTTTTTTCCAAGTCTTAGTTTTGAATAAACTGCTTTCCGAGGCGAAATTGGATCTCCAAATGATTTGTTATCATCTGTGGAAGCTTCTCTCGAAGGAATTGAATGTGGATCACATTGAATAATCAATGCATTCTTTTTAGGATTAAACATTTGACGCTTCAGACCTAAATCCAATTATAATACTAGAATTTTATGATAAAATACATTACAAAATCTATATCAAACCAAAAGCCAATATAATTTCCCAAAACTCCCTCATATCCATTCACCTAAACCCCAAATACACACCCCTAGGTCCAAAACCCACTTCCATACCCTCAAAACTCCTCCAAACACCCATATCTCATCTCTAAACTCTAATTTCCATCAATCCTTAAAAACTCCTTTTCCAATACTTCTCCCCTCTCATTCCTTTTTAAAACTTCTTTGTATTACCAGCAATCGCTTCCATGATATAAATATTAATTCAATAATTCTACTATTATTAGGGGTTTTGGGGTTTTGGGGTTTTGGGGTTTTGGGG